AACAAACCTCAACATACACGCCGGAGAATAGCTAGATGAAGTCTGATGTGGTTTTTCATAATCTCAGGCACCAATAATTTCTTATCATGTCACTAACACTTACTAAATATTGACGTTTAAAATGTCAAAGATCCATACCAGGTCGTCTGCACCCTTCTACATGACTTAAATCAATGATCACAGACTTAATAGATCAGTACTGTATTCCGGTCTGGTCACTCATAACTCTATTCAAGCTTAATGCTGTATCAAATAATATAGTTTACCGAGGAGAGTGTAGTACCAATCAATGGAGTTTCACCACCCCATCAACTGACTTTCTCTACACTACTTATCTCTATGCCCACCATTATTACTGATGTTGCTACCCCATCCAGTATGATAGAATCAGCACAGGAACCCATGATCAAAATCCACTAGTAATTTTTACACCTCCCATCTTCAATGACCTTGTCTCACAACCCTCGGGGTGGGGTGGAGTGAACTGCACAATATACAAAATAATAGGTGAACATTACACACCAACTCTAAAGAAGACAAGAGCTCCTGCGTCCATGCTGAGATTTTGCCAACAATCAGTCCTCTAAGGGAGACGCGAGTTCTCACATCTTAACCATTTCATTCTTTATCCCTAAACTACGAGTAGATGCAGACTAGTCGTGCAGAACCATCTTTGAGTTGTTCGGTGGGAATAGCATGTCAAAAATGGTAACATTTCTGTCCAAAGGATTCTGCACTTTGTAAACGTCTACACCTGAGAGGACTATGTGATCTGGTAATGAGTCATTTCCTGATAAAAAGCGTATCCGACAACCATCACACCAGTGGTTACATCTCTAAGGGATTTGAAGAAATAGGACGAAGTTGGACATCTCATATGAATGCTATTGCTTGCCTTTGTTCTAGAGAAATCCTGTCTACGATCTCATATACGGATACATGACTTCGAGTAAAGTGTCTTGATTAGTACGATACGTTTTCCTGGCAATTCCGTCACAACTGAACATGGTCTTAACACCTCTCATTTGACGGAATCAGCTGTATCTTTAGGATAAGATGTATCGAAGTGCTGGATACCAGTTTAGATGCCTATGTAACATAGACTTCCGGGATGCAAACATATGATCACTACTCTTTTGTCGGAGCTGAGAATCCCACCTGGCTTTTTGTTTTTCACAAGCCTCATTTATTGTTCACTAAACCATGGAAACTAGAATCTTGCACACTATGTTAGTAAATCTATTACCATCACAATAAGATTTCTTTCCCTCGTTAAATAATAAGATGACTAATAAACTATATCCGTCCGTTGGGACTACCTGAGGATCCTTTACAGTAGATAATGCTATAAACGACCTAAGTATTAATTCATCATCACCATTCTTAAACACACTGTTTCAGACTAGAGACTGCCTTTATGATCTCACATTTGAAGGATCTACGTCTGCATTCAATAGGGTGTGGGTTGGATGACTGTGACTTGTGGGAAATTTATAGGCCAGATAAACTATTCAACAATGTATTCTAACCAACATTTCAATCGTTCTTCCTGGAAAGCTATTAAACTCTCATTTTTCACGGATATCATTTCGCTTACCATAGGATATTTAGAATCCGTCTCCTCAAAGACCTTAAGTACTGGATGGGTATTACCTAATTCTGATTCCTTTACCATTTTTTTTCACTTTCGTAACCCAAAACTAGTAATCATTGAGACTTTTGGCTATCTGACATTTTAGCTCATTTCTCCTCCTCGTTTTGCCCGGAGGTGGTCGATATCAGTCCACTTGTATCAATTGTTTTGGATGAAGCCGGAGAAATTCTCTGTCATTTGCCAACCTTGAAGGTTATCATCAATCTTCACCAGTTTCTCTATAACAAACTGGATATGAAATTAGGCTTCTTCACATGAGGTCCCGATTTTACTTTCAGAAAGTATTGGTTTTTTAAGGATTTTGTTTAATTAGTTGGAGGATTTCATCCTGAGCTGATATCAGTTAAAGAACCTTTCGAAAACCTGGGAATACTTGACCGCCAGCTGTTTCTCGCCGGCCTAGTTTCCAACTTCTTACGTCCCCATCGCCACAATTAGAACCCACGACCTTCTGGTTACAAGGTGAGCTAGCTAGTAGACCATTAAGCCACTGGGACCCACTCCAATGGCTAGCCCATGAATTCTAACTTCTTCCAGTTCATGATATATTGGAACCAATTCGCAATGTCTTCCTCGATGAGTGATTACCTCACCTACAACCTGCTGCACCCTACTGGTCACAGCCTCCCACTAGAACTCCAGGTCGCTTTCTGAATAGGACCAGTTTCTAGTGAGCATCAGACTAATTTTCAAGTATTGGTTTTGTAGATTTTGACGAGTCCCAAGCCAGGACGAAACATCTGTCTGGCAGTACTCCCTTCCTGGTGGTTTTTTAATGGTTCTCTAACTGATGTCAGCTTATGATTAAATCCGCCAACTTTTCAAAGAGTGGTTAGTCATCTCATAGCGGATTTTAAAAAGTTAGATCTGTGCAGTTACTTGTTTTCTATGTTCATTTTAGTTTTGGACTTACATGTACGCTGATTAATGCATTATCGGGGTCGACGCAAGTTGTCTAGAAGAAGAAATACTCTTCCAACTACCCTCTTCATCGATAACTTATACCTAGTCAACCTATTTATGCCCATTCGTCAATCGCCATGTAAGATAGTGTTTCTGTTAATTTTTAAAACGAGTACTTATGAGAAACATAAAGATATTCAAACAGAACTGTAAAAGACGACCACCACTGTCGGTCCCTCTCCCATGAGACTCCATAGATATCCCCTAATATATCCTTTTTGGAATGGTTCAGGTCCTTTATTCGAACATTAAAATCTGTCAGTGATATAGCTGTATCTGAGATTTCTTTCATTCTGACAACAAACCTAAGGTTTTCCGATAAAGCATACACCCGTTACTTCGTTCGAACTGTGCTCACTTAGCGTGTAAGTAGAGGTTAGGAAAAGGCATCGACGAGTGTCACCATCATGTCTTATTATTGTCTATCTGGATTCAACATAGAACTTCGCACCGAAGTGCACCAGTTCCAGTTGCCACGTTCCAAATAGCACACAGAGGTAGACAAGAAGATGAGTGAAGAGAATCAATACAGTCTGACAAGTATAAGAGTGAAACAGAATGGGTAATGGTAGAAAGGAATATGAAAGATTACAGAGACTGAATGCATCTGCGCTGGCCATTGACAACGACTTTGAGCCATGTCACCTATTGTCTCCAGCCAATGATTCCTAGAGTCCCGAGGGCCCCAACCTGGAAGTCTGCATCTCCCTACCTGACTGACTCAGTTTAACTGTCGTCAAGGATTTCATGGGTTGATGAGGTCATGTTTTTGTTTGGCCACCACTTACCCTTTTCCAACCTGAACCTAGCTATATCAGCTAGTAATTCCGGTCGGAGGTAGGGGGCGATGGTTAGGCATGCGCACCACGTGACCTAGCCATCTCAATCTGTGTAACTTTATAGCCTCGTCGATTGATTTTCCCTCTTTGCCCAACACTCTACGCCTAACGTCAACATTACTTACCTTGTTAAACCACCTAACGTGAGACAGGGATCGCAGACATCTATGATCGAAAGCAGTCAACCTTTTCATGTCTTCAACTCGTATCGGTCTTATTATTACCGATCATTCTGTCCAGATAAACAACTGTTCACTGGGATCTAGTCAAGCAACCAGTCGTTTGCCCTTACACTCAAAACTGTTCTCACACTAGGAAGCTCACATGGACTAACCACAGATTCTCCTGACACATACAGAACAAATTTCATAAATGCATCACACTGGCCACGGAATGAACAAGGTAACTGGGAGCAGTAAAACGTTGCTCCAGCATGCTTAAATTCCCAAAAAATGGTACTAAATATCTAGATAGAATTATTTGCATAAAATGAACATTCTTTTCACCTATTCTTCTAATAGTAAAACCTACAGTAGCCTTAATTCAGTTCTCTGAAACGATAAGGACTGGTGATGAAGAGGAGAATTTTCTATGCTCATAGAAGTTGGTGGGTGATTGCTACTTCCAGGCTTTCCATATTGTAGAAATACCCTAAAAAAAGAACAGATACTCGTTCTCTTTGATTGCTCCGTGGACAATAGCTTAGGACTGACAGAGAATCGCTCACTGGGACTTGAGACTTGTAATTTCCCCTCAACACTAAATACCTTATCTTATGAAATGCCGTAGGGTAAGTTGGAATGTACAGTTTTTAGACCATCCTCTTCTATATGCTCCTTCTTTAGGTGGGAAGGCAGAATGGCTAGCCTACCAGTGGTCTCTTTCTGTAGTACGACCTATTCCTACGATCCCTATCTTAGGGTAAGCAACTACTTTTATGAAAGCACCTGCTTTTGGTCTAATCTCTATTCAGCTGGTCTTTTCAGCAAGTTAGGGTGTGCAGAAATGTCCTTCCCAGTCGTTCTTAAGAAAAAATCATAATAGTAGCCACTGACCGTATTATCTTCTCTGATAATACTTTACTGTCCTAGGTTATATCATTTTCCACTTCCTATCTACCATTTCATGATCTCCTCGAAATCAATATTGCTATGAATTCATTCCTTTGTGTCCCGACTGGAACACAGGGCTTCAATCTATGAGCTTGAAAGTTTCATTAGTGCTTCTGTTTTTACAGGATGACGTTACCAGCCTCATACCCAGCCTTACATCCTTTCCTGGGTTACTTCTGGCTGAGGTAGGCTTAGAATTGCGTCAGCCGGCGGGAATTCTACTCCTGCTCTAATGATGTACAAAGCCAGTGAGTGCTGGATATATATTTAGTCCCAGTTTGGGACTCTTGAGCAGTACGCACCCACTGGGGTTCGGATGTAGCTCCTTCCAGTTACAGAGCCAGCTCGTAGGCCATTCAGCCCCTGCGAACTTTAAATGAATATACATGTATACACATATTCACATATGATGTGTGAAGAATATCTTCTTACCGCTGTATTTTCAGCATCCTGATTTGTATCACTTTTCCTGTTCTGTGATAATTTTGGTTGATAAACATTGGGTTTATATCGTGATGGATTGTATTCTTCAAACATCATACTTTCATAAAAATTATATCCATGTGGTATATCACAACAAAGCATCCCTGTCTGTACTGTTATCATTGCATCCAATCCATCAAAGCATAACCGGGATCCTCGTGTTCGTCTAAAGGCGTCATCAATTTTCGCTTCAATAATTTTTAATCCATCTCTTTCAGCTAGTCGAGACTTCATCATTTGATATTTCCATAGTGGCATAATATTTGATCCTTGAAAGTTCAAGTGTAGCCGGTGTATATTATCCATTGGATTTTTATAAAAATATGTTGTCTCTGGTACAGCTATTAAAATTGTTCGTCCACTAATTTGTGATTTTTCACGTATATACACCATTTTATCTTCTGTCTGCACAGCAGCGGTACCTTTCACTTCATAACGACTTAAATTTAATTCTTCCATTTTAAAATTAAACTGTAACAGATCATTTCCATACCGTGCTATAATCACCCCCTTGTTTCTACGTGTTTCTGATGTTGGCATATGTAATTTTTCTAATTTTGCTAAAATATCTTCATGTACAGGCATTTTAATCTGTGTTATAGGTAGGGCTTCACATGGGACACGTATTATCATATCACGATAATTAAAGTAGATATGTCCAGTTAGAGCAGATTTATTCGACTCACTAACAGTACGTTTACGTGTCAACGATTTCACATCATCTGTATATACTTGTGTTGATGGTAGGGGTAGTTTAATTGACTTCTGTAAATTAATTGAATCTATACTTAGAGCATATTTTCTACGTAAAAAACCATGACCAAATGATTTACCAACATCAGATGTATCCCATTCTGGATATTCATATGGTCGAAGTTGTATTTTCTTTTCAGTTTCTAATGGTGGTGTAGGTCTTGGATGAACATAAAGTGGAACAAAGGAGACATTAGATGTTTGAAATTCAAGTCGATAGGTTAATCCAGGTGGTCGAGTTAAGTAGATAACACTTTTTGGTAATTCAGTCGTATTTCCTTTTTCTTTATTACTACTTATTCGTGTTGAAGTTAATGCATCCGATTTCGGGCATGGTGTACTACGTGCTGGTGCAGTACGAATAAACTTAGTATATGGACTACCTGGTCTCACTTTTGTTGATTGCATTGATTTTGATTTAGTTGAACTAACTTCTTGTGTTGATTTTATATTTTGATCACTAATGTCATTATCTTCCAAAGAATTTGCTTGATTTGTACTTGTAGTCATATTGATAGTGTTAATATTATTATTAAAACTTCTATTATTAATATTTAAATTGAAGTTAAAACTTTTGTTTAAATGTATGTTTTCATTGAACATCCCGCGATTATTTGAATTGTCCGCTTGTACAAGTGTATCAATGTTGTCGTTGTTTAAATATAAACTATTTATTATCCTTTTTGAATTATTATGATTTGATGTAATAATATCACCAGTAAGACTAGGTAAATAAAATTCATTTTGTTTTAATTCCTTTTGTATTTCGGGTAGGGTTAAACTTCCCATTGTATCATTGACATCCATGCTATGTGTTAGATTTTGTGATGATTTGGGTAAACTTTTAAGTGAAGTACATTCCATGATTTATTCTTTGTTAATATCCGGTATTAAATGTTGAATGGAAATTCCTAATATGTTTATTTATTTCCAGTAGAGTGTATTTTATGTTTGCATACTGTAAATGATTTTAAATGTATTAGAATCAATAAAAGTTCATTTAATCGATTGGTCAGTATACTTATACATTATTTTAAACTATCTACCTCAACTTTATAGACATTGAGAAGGCCTTCGACAGACAGCGTTGACCGTGAGGTAATTTGGAAACTACTCGAGTACTACGGCGTACAGTGCGCCAAATATTCATCAACCTTATTCAACAGCTGCACGATAACAGCGGCACATGTCAAGTGGTCCACGACGGAAAACTCACCGAGGCGTTTGGAGTAAAAACACGAGTCAGACGATGCCGGCTGTTTATTATCACCAATGATATTCCTAATTGTGGTGCACTGACTGGATTATGCGTCAGACAGTGAGTGGGAAACGAGAAGACAGGGATATCCTGGACCGACCGACGCGAAGAACCTAGAAGACCTGGATTTCGCGCGTGGATGATTTATGTTTGATGTCACTGTCACAAAATCGAAGACTTACAAGCAAGCGAAAACCGACAAACTGGTCGAAGAAACAGCCAGAAAAGACAGGACTCCAAGTGAACTAGACAAGACGGAGGTGATGAAAATAACCAACCAACCAACAACAACAGCAGCAAAATACAGCGTCAATCACCATCAACAACAGGAGGGGTTTGAAGGAGGTTACTTCATTCACTTATCATCTAAGGAGCATTGTCTCAACTACAGGAGGAACGGACGAGGATGTCAAATCGAGAGAGAATCGAGAAGGCGAGAAACACATTCACTCATCAACCTGAAACCAATCTGGAAATCTTCGTCACTCAACTCACCATCAACAACAAAATTCGGTCGGATTTTCAATACAAACGTCAAGTCAGTCAGCTCTTCTACACGGATCAGAAACTTGGCGGGCAGGTCACAAAGAATATTTCCAACAGCCAGTTGCAGACCTTTATCAACAACTAATTGTCTTCGCTGGCTCTATACTGAAGATCAGATGGCTGGGCCGGAAAGAATCACCAACAAGAAACTATGGGAACACACAAACGAAACAAGAACCAACCAATCGCCAGCCAACAAATATGCAGGAGAAAGTGGAGATGGATTGGACACTCTCTGAGGAGGCCTCTGCGTGACATCGCGCGCGAGTCAGGCCTTAGGATGGAACCCGAAAGGGAAGCGGCGTGTGGGACGTCCAAGGGTGACATGGAGGAGATCGTGTGAAGAGGAGTTGAAACAGTATGGACTAAGTAACATGGATGCAGGTGAAAAGTACAGCAGAAGGAAGACAGAAGTGGCAAGTGGAGACGTGCAGTTGAAGCCCCATGTTCCACTAGGAACCCAAGAGAACAATAAATAAAATAATAATAATAATCTTAGTACATGAATAAATAAGGATATATCATATTATTATATTATTATTCCCATGGGTTCCGATTGGAACGCATGGCTTCAATAACACATCTTCATCTTGTCCACGATTGCCCATAATCTCAATTCTCCTCCTCCCCGATACACTATCTACTCCATGTCACCCTCACAGCGACCAACCTGTCGTCGCTTCCCTTTGGGATTCTACTCGATCAATGGCCTACACAGAGCCCAATATCATTCGATGGTCTCCTCAACGTACGCCCGATCTATCCATCTCCATTTTTTCCTACATATTTGTTGGGCAATCATCGGCTCTTGCCTATTGGTTTGTTCCCAGACAGCCAAAGTTTCTCCCTGATAATTATTTCTGGCCTGTTGATGATTTGATCTTCAATATAAAGCCAGCTAAGTGAGCAGATGTTGATGAAAGTCTGTAGCTCGTTGAAAATGACTTTCATAGTGAACCAAATTTCTGACGCGTATAGAAGGACTGACTGATTGACTTCACATTTGTGTTAAACAAAAATCCGAATCTTGTTCTTTATTCTGTCTGAGTGAGTGTCAGCAGAAGATTTCTAGACTGGTTTCAGTTTGATGAAGGCATATCTCGTCTTTACAGTTCTGCCTGGCTTCGACATCTTCATCCGTTCCCCTAGCCTATAGCTGAAGAAGGTGACCCCTCTTACAAATTCTTTCCGTTGATGGTTGTTACCGCTGCTATCGGTTGGTTATCGTATCATATATTATATTATTGTATCCTTTAGTTCCTAGAGGAACATAGGGCTTCAGCTGCGCACCTCCATTGACTCCGGTTTTCTGAAAACTTTTTCACCCTGCTCCAGGTCTGTCCACATGCTTTCATCTCCTCCTCGCATGACCTCCTCCAAGTCATCCTTGCACTGACGACCAAGTCGCCACTTCCCTTTCGGGTTCTACTCGAGCTATGGCTTGTCTAGTGATGCCACTTGATGGTTTCCTCAGAGTATCGCCAGCCAATCCATCTCCATTTCTTCCTACCTATTTGTTTCACAATCGGTTCCTGATTGGTTCGCTCCCAGAGATCCCTGTTGCTGATCTTTTCTGGCCATCTGATCTTGAGTATTGAGCGGAGACAGCTGTTAATGAAGGTTTGAAGTTTGTTTGAGATGCTCTTTATGACTCACCAAGTCTCTGATCCGTATAGTAGCACTGACTTCACATTGGAGTTGAAAATCCGGATCTTATTTTTGATGCTGATTGCTGTTGACCTCCACACAGATTTGAGAGTAATGAAAGCTTGTCTTGCTTTTCCGATTCTGGCTTTGATGTCCTCGTCAGTTCCGCCTGTAGTTGAGACGATGCTTCCCAGGTAGGTGAAGGAGGTTGTTTCTTTCAGGTTCTTCCCATTTATGCTTATTGTATCGTATCATATGATACCATGAATTTGTTGGCAAAGTTTGGACTTTCTAAATTCTTCAAAGATTCGAAACTACCTTTTAAACCATGATTCCCTGAATTTTCACGAACTTTTTAACTAATCATCTAGAGAGTTTAGAGTAAAGTGGTATATTAGTTATATCATACATAAGTGGTAAACGTGAACCAGCTGGTCTATTTCATTTCTTCCTCTTCTTCAAGCATTCTCCTAGTTTCTTTGTAATTGACTTCTGTGTGGATTTATCAGTCTTTAAAATGGAAACTAGTAACTAGTGTGATGTGTCTACCCCTTTCTTTGGTGCGGACTGAATTCTATCAGTCAGTCAGGTTTGCAATGCGGCCACCATGCCACTAGGTAGCTCACGATCACAGTGCATATTGATTTACCAAGGCTTCCTGTCGATTACCTCCAACCATCTAATATCATCAAATCGATGTAGATTTAGCCGTCTTTTTTCTCACTGTTCAACATAAATCCTGACGAACTTTTTAAAATTAACTTAACTTTACATGTAAGTTCATTCTTACTGATTATAACAACACTGAAACCTTCGTCTGACTTGACTGTCATGATGTCTTCGTTATTCATTAAAATTCTTCAAAGTTGGTTGATGTTTTTTTTTCTCGGTTATTCGGCCTCACAACTGATCTCCCGTAGGACTTTAAAGGATACTTTGATTGGACACTAGGTATCAATTAATGTCATGCGTCGAGTCCTTGATTCTAGTGCAGACTGAATTCTATCAGTTAAAGTAAAATTTCAGTTCATCTGTCTGTATTTTATCAGCAATCTAAATTATTGTTTGAAATTTTATCTCTAATGAACTTAAGTATATTAAAATTGTAATAAAACTATTGTATAATTAAAAGGGCGTTCAGCAAAGAGGAGCTCTTTTCGGCGATATCATTCTTCAAGCTGTACAATCATATATATATTATTGTCTTAGTGAAAAGCACTGAAACAGCCTGAAAGCGGTGTGAAGTCAAACCTGCATAGAAGTTCTAGGCAGAAAGAAGAGGCAGGACAAACAATGGCTCACTATGGACACATGGAGACTAATAGAACAGAGTAGAATGGTGAAACAAAAAATTATCCAGTGCAACGACGAACAACAAAAACAGGAGTTGAATGCAAGCTACAATACGCTGAACAAAAGAGTAAAGAAGAGTGTCAGGGAAGACAAAAGAAAATATTATGAAGCCATGGAAAGTGAAGCGGAACAAGCTGCAGGCAAAGGAGACCTCGCCATACTCTACAAAACACTAAGGTACCTATCGGGCAAAAGTTCGACACAGATTAAGCCAGTGAAGGATGACAACGGAAAGTCAATCACCAAAGAAGTGGAGAAAAGGAAACACTGAACTGAACACATCAAAAGACTTCTAAATCGACAGCCACTTACAACGCGTCCAATAATACCAACAACGGAAGCAGAACTACCAGTGGACATCAACCCTCCGACGAGAACAGAAGTCCTGAAGGCAATCAAGATGCTAAAGAGCGGACTAGACGGAATCCCAGCAGAGGCATTGAAAATGAACTCGAGACATCAGTGGACTTGATGACACCACTACTGGAGTAGGTGTGGAAAGAGGGCAAAGTACCTGCGGATTGGAAGAAAGGCTACTTATTCGAGCCGTCAAAGAAAGGAGACCTAATTCAATGCAACAACTGGTGCGACACTATGCTCCTGTTCATTACAAGCAAAATACTAAGCCGCATCATCCTGGAGAGAATCAAACACACTCTAGATGAAACACTTTGACCCGAACAAGTTGGAATCAGGGGGAACAAGTCATGCATCGATTAAATCGTAACACGATGGATCATCACTGAACAGAGCTTGGAATCGCTGTCAGTCAGCTTTCTACCTCATCTTCATTGACTTTGAAAAGGCGTAAGATAGAGCAGCGTCGATTGAGAGGTGATTTGACAACTACTTCGCTACTACGGAGTGCCACCAACAATTATACATCTCATGCAACAGTTGTACGACAATGCTGAATGCCAAGTAATCCACAGTGGCAAACTCACGGAATCCTTCGAAGTGAAGAAGGGAGTAAGACAAGCTGGCTGCCTAATATATCCAATGATTTTCCTGATCGTGGGCGGTAGACTAGATTATGTGACAGACAGCGGGCCGGGTCTCTAGGAAAAAGGCATAAAATGAACTCACACAAAACACTTAAAGGATCTGAATTCCGCCGATAATATATATATATATATGTCTGATTTACCATAA